CCCTTAGGGCCTAATGGCAATTAACGGGGTGCCCATAACTTGACAGCTTTTTGCGCGAAATTGAACCGAGCACCAACAGTTATTATATATATCGAATAGAGTAACAAATGTTTTAAGGAGCATACACTAGTAGTTCATAGACATACATAGAGATTAACTTTGAAATATTTATCATTTGATATTTTTCTGAGTTTATGGGCGAGAGTGGGGGAGGAGGGTGGGGGGAGAGAAAAAAGAAAGAAAGAAAGAAAGAAAGAAAGAAAAGGAAGAAAAAAAAGTATCTGTTTAATTTTTTTTTTTTTGTATCAATTATTTTATAAAATATTTATATGATTTTTGAATGAATCCACCCTGTATATACTAAATCGTATTATTAATTTTTCATTGTAAAAATTCGTGTTAAAAGTGACAAGCCATCCCACCCCCCCAACCCCCCTTCTATTGTCAAGAATATATCGAATCTTCGAAAATATTCATTTTTGTCGAACTTTAATAATAATAATAATAATAATAAGAATTTCGTAGAATAATATTTATTTATCAAGATCAAATTAAATAAATAATAATTTTATTACGTCGTACCGGTCCCCGTTAATTGAAAAGATCTAAATAAAAATATATCTATAAATCAAATGATTTTTTCTTTGCATTTTGAAGATTTATTTCCTTTCTCTTTTTTTTTTTTTCTTCTTTCTTCTTCATTATTATCAAATAATCGACAAGCTAATGAACGAAATAAAATTTTCCACGATCTTGTCAAAAATAACTTGCTAATAGTCACGTTATAAAATGAAAAAAAAAGAAAAAAAAAAAAATAGATAAAAGAAAATAAAAAAGAAAAAAGAAAAGAAAAGAAAAAAGTCAACGATTAATGTGCGTTAGGATTTAAATAAAAAGAAAAAGTAAAATCAGAAAAAAAAAAACGAAGAAAACTATTGTTAGTTTTCAATGCAATAGTTTTCACGAAATCTTAAACGAACACACAATATATATATTTTTTACAAATCCAAAATTTGCAAGGTTATCGTATAAATAATTAAATAAATAATGATCGATGTGAACGTAATTATCGAATTGAATGAGGTAGATAATATAATCGTTGAAGAGTTTCTATGGGAGTTATGGATAACGTGTTAGAAATATTAGAAAATATGGAAACTCGATACTCATTGGTTTACACCTACACCTTATCATACACATATATATATATATATATATATATATATATATATGTAATAGATACACATATTATGTAGAACGTACATAATCAACACTTCATTGCATTCCATGATATCGCTTTACTTTTACACGGGCGCATATCGAACGATTAAAACGTACATTTTCCGCGACAATATCACGTATATAAGCTCGTTCGAAAAGAGATAGAGAGAGATAGAGAGAAAGATAAAGATATATATATATATATAGAGAGAGAAAGAGAGAGAGAGAAAGAGTGAGGTATTATACGATAGTATATGATCGTCGTCGATGATCGCAGTCGAGAGAGAGAGTTCTCGTAAATTGATCGTAAAGCGATACCGAGCTAACGATCAATTTCGTATAAATCGTTCAATCGATTTGTCGATAACTCGATTTGTCTTCACGAAACTATAATCCGTATTCCGCTTCTCCATATATATATATATATATATATATTATACTATACTTATACGTATATAATGTATATACGTATTATCGTAATATACAGGATGAGTTTGAAAATGTCTTTAAACGGGTCAAAAGTTTCAAGGTGATAATTAAAAATCAATTTGGACAATTTGTTATTTAAATTGTTTTGCAAGAAAAAAAAAAAAAAAAAAAAAAAAAAGAAAAAAGAAAAAGAGAAAAAAAACAAACAAACGTTCGTAGTACCTTTTTACGTTTAATGACCTGAAAATGGTACGACGCTTGAAAGATTAAGCTTGAAGGAATAATTGATTTATTCTTTTTTTTTTTTTTTTTTTTTTTTTTTTTTCAATCGTCTAAGGAATTTCGGCCCAGCTACGTTCTCGTCTGCTCGTTAAAAAAAAAAAAAAAAAAAAAAAAAAAAAAAAAAAAAAAAAAAAAAAAAAAAAAAAAAAAAAAAAAAAAAAAAGGAAAAAAGAAAGAAAATTATTTATACAAATAAAAAATCGTTTAAATCGAATTAGAAAACTTTTCCTTTTCTCTGTTTTTTTTTTTCTTTTTTTTTTTTTTTTTTTTTTTTTTACCTTTACAAGGACTGTACATCGATTGCATATTAATTTGATGATTAATTGGATAAATAATATAATTTGTATATTCACCAATACGTCCTGTAATAATTCATGCTCGTCGAGAAGGATCACTTTGCAATGGAGGAGCCGGGGCCTACGGCTTCCGGTGGGCCTTAGTCCAGGACACAACCACTCCACCACCATAGCGTCTATAGCTTTCTCACTATATTTCCTTAACAAATCCTTTCTCTTCTTCTTTTTCCTCTTTCTCCTTCACCTCCTCCACCTTCACCACCACCACCACC